CCTCTATAACTGTACCCAATAACTGTACCCCTATTACTACATCCCTATAACTACATCCCTATAACTGTACCCCCCTATAACCCTAACCCTATCTCCCACCCCCCAATAATATATCATCTTGCTATCTAACATCAACTAAAAAGCATATATATAGAAAATATTATACTGGGATTGAAATTCATTTAGATAGCTACAACTACGTTAAAACAATGCCTTCCGCAACATCTGTACTCTCCGCAACCCCCTGCCTCTCCTCCAACGACTCCGCCGTTCTCCAGGCGCTATTCGACGCCGAATCATCCCCCGCAAACGCTTCAAACGGCATCCATCTCGACCCGTCCCTCCCCCAACAGCTCCCCGGCATATCTGCCAGTGATCTCTCAAAACTCCAAACAGAGGAACTCGCTGCAATCAAGCCCTTGCAGCAGGGACAAGAGCAACGACAAGATTCCGACCCCGCGGCAAATGCAGAAGCAATCCGCACGGCCGTGTCGCAGCTCACAGCCATCATCGACAAGAATCCGCAGTACCCATCCGCTTATATAAATCGTGCGCAGGCCATGAGGATGCTGGTGGAGAGTAGTAGCCCCCAGAACATGGAGAATGCGGATTCATTGGGCAGCCAGATCTTCTCAGACTTATCAACGGCGATATCTCTTTTGACTCCCTCCTCCTCCTCGTCCTCCTCGCCAGCATCATCAACGATATCCCTATCACCCCTCCACTCCCGCATCCTCGCAAACGCACACACTCACCGCGCCTACATCCTCTACAGAGCTGCGCGATCCCTAGCTTCATCGTCTGCATCTGCACCAACATCCACTGCTCCTCCTCCTCCTCCTTCTCCACAGATAGACAACCTGTGTTTCCTCCCGCAGCAACTCCGCAACAAGTCCGCGCAGCATCTGGAGGAGATGGCAAGTATGGATTTCCAGCTTGGCGGGCGCTATGGGAATGACGTTGCCAAGCAGATGGCGGTTAAGACGAATCCGTATGCGAAAATATGTGCGGCGGTTGTGGGGGAGGCGATGAGGAAGGAGATGGAGAGGTGGGAGGAGAATGGGGCCTTTGTGGTGTGAGGTTTTTTTTTATTTTTTATTATTATTTTTTTATTTTATTTATTTTTTTTTCTTTCCCTTTTTCTACTTTTTCTTTTTCATTTTTTCCCTTTTTTCTCTCTATTGGATTATGGGTAGATAGATAACTAAACACTTTTCTTTTTGGTCTGTTGTATTACTACGGTGGTTTATTCCTACGAATGAGGATGCGGATAGATTGCTAGACTGAGACTACATCCACAACAAACTGTTGGAGCCTAGGCTTCCTATTATGGACTAGCGCACCGCACAGTAGTATATAGCATCCCTGAGATAGGCTACCAATACAACCACTTCAGACGTCCAACACATACTAGTTACAGCAACAAAGCTAATTACACAGAATGATAAGCTAGCAAAGACACATAGTTAAAATTACGTATGAAAGTCTCGAAATCGTTCCCAGGAGCTATACCTCCCTATTTCTGCTTGTTAGGATTCTGGAAATACCTCTTTAGCGGTGTCCAACTCTCGTTGTTGTAATCCTCCTGCACCTTCTGGCACGTTTTGAGTCCCCACTCAGAAACACCCACCATCAACGTACTATCAAAGTCAGCATCGTTTTCTTTCCCTTTTTATTTTTATTTTATTTCATTTTCATTTCACCTTCAAAGATAGGGCTTGAAGTCAATACGTACCTCTCAAACATAAACGCCAAGCTCCCTTCCCCAACCTTCTTCGGCAGCAACGGCGCGTTACTGGCGGCCTCATGCGTCACCGCATCCGGCCCATGCGCACTCATTACATTATGCAAACTACCCCCCGCAGGCCTGAAGCCATCCCCACTCTTCGCATCGTAGTCACCGCAAATCAACCCCATGAATTCCGACATGGTATTCCGATGGTACCAGGGGGGACGGAAGGTACCTTCCGCCACCAGCCAGCGGGGCGGGAAGATGACAAAGTCCGCGATGGCCGTGCCCGCATGGTCCGACGGGCCCGTGAGGACGGTGAAGATGGACGGGTCTGGGTGGTCGTAGGAGATGGAGCCGATGGTGTTGAAGCGGCCCAGGTCGTATTTGTAGGGGTAGTAGGTGCCGTGCCAGGCGACTACGTCGAAGGGGGTGTGTTTCTGGTGGGCGATGAAGAGGGAGTTATTGAATTTGGAGAGGATGGACCACCCCTTCAGGTTGTTGTTTTTACCCTCGTCGTCGATGAAGGAGGCGGTGGGGGCTTGGAAGTCGCGGGCGTTGGCGAGGCAGTTGGAGCCTATAGGACCTAGCTCAGGGAGTTGGAAGTGGCCCTGGTAGAGTTCGCAGATGTAGCCGCGGACGGGGCCGGAGGGGAGGGTGACGCGGTATCTTTAGTAAATGTTAGTTAGTGCTTTACCGTAACTATAAATACTCTTATATTTTCTCCTGCACATCTTTTAAAAAGGGGGAAAGAGTCGTAACTTACCTGACGCCGCGGGGGATGACGCAGATCTCGTTTGGGCGGACGAGAAGATGGCCGAATTCAGTCTGGATATCCAGCACGCCATGCTGGGGGACGATCAAAAAGTCTCCATCAGCTGAATAAAATGCCTCATTGCCCATATCCTTCCCGGCAGCGAAAAGCATGATTCCCAGTCCGGATTTCATGCTCGGGTCGCCCGCGGCGGCAATGAGATGCAACCCGCGCACCCAGTCCACATGCTCGTCGAGGTCGAATGGGCTCCATCGCAGCTGGTTGGGGATCTGCTTGATCGAGTGGGTATCCTTTTTCAGGCTGGTGTGGTAGGTTGTGGGATCTACTTCTTTGAATGGCTCATGGGCAGCCGACGGTAAGATGCGGTAGAGCCAAGATTGCTGGTTTTCGTGGCGCGGGGCTGTGAAAGCTGTTCCCGAGAGCTTCTCAGCGTAGAGGCCGTACGGGGGCTTCTGTGGAGAGTTCTGCCCCACCGGCAGGGCTCCTTCAATGGCTTCTGATCTTGAGGCAGACGTTAGATTTGGTTTTTCCTCTTTTTTTTTTTTTTTTTTTTTTTTTTTAAAAAAAAAAAAAAAAAATAGGGCTTACTCATGATAGGAAGCAAAGCCGTTGAGGTAGGTGTATTTTTCTTTTGTTGAAAAGTTGGACATTGGCATGATCGCGGTATATATGGCAGGGCATATATAGGGAATATCTATTCTATCCACCTATGTAGAGAGATAGTTGCGAAATTCAGGAAAAATATTTAGTGAATATTGGGTAAATATTGAACGAATATTGAATGACAGCTGAGATCTGCTCAAAGTTGATAACAATCCACAACCCTAGTTATATATATACGGCAGCAGTTATCATTTTCTTTATCCTGCAGATCAGGATATTGGCCCCATCCGGATAAATTAGCATTAAGATTCTAAAATACTACACGCCGCCAGC